ACCCTGGTGTGGAAACAAACCCAGCAGAGCTGTGTGTTCTTGCAAAAAGAACTGTTGTTTTTGCTATTTAAAGAGGCCAAATTTGACATGCTGTAGTTTTGCACTGTGCTGGTCTGACTGCTCCTGTGCAGCATAACAGAGCATCTCTTTCCACTCCCCCTCTCCTGCCCCTGTAGTCACCGCTTTGCACTCAAAGGAAAGCAAGACTATACATTTCTACAGTTTCAATGGCAACTTATGGATCACATGGGAAATGTGTAGGATTGCACAGGAGCCTTCTCTAGCAAAACTTTCCGCTTTCTGCTCGTACAACAATGTGGACAGAAGACCAGAGATTATCTGGGAGTTTGTGAAAGCCAAACAGGACTGACATGAAGCACAGCATCACCGTGAAAAGCCTGTGCTCACGGCAGGGAAAGTTAAGGAAGATGCTGACAGACTGAAAAAATCAGGGGAGGAGAAGGCAGGCCCAAGGGCAACAGTGCAAGGCAGAAAGATTGTAACAAATAATGCTTGACTTGGTTAAACATCAACTCCCAGATAAGAGGGAAAAGCCAGCCTTCTGAAAGGGTTTGCACAAGCCAAAAGGACTAACTGTTTGGCCTAGGCCATATAGGCATGTGTAACTGAAACAAATAAACAAATAAGTCAAGTGATTTTTCTGGAGCAGTCTAAATAAGAGAAAAAATTTGCAGGGGCAGGAGGTAGTAACCTGGGCCATGGGGTCCTGAGAGTGGAACAAACTGCATGTGGCACCTTGGCTGTGTGTCACTGCTGTGTGCACCTGTGCCACTGACATAGGGATGCAGGGCTGGTGTGGGTGCTGCTGGACAGGGTGAGGTGGCATCCTCAAATGTCCTTCCTCCCCCACATCCAGCTAACAAGGAGGGAAAACCTTGCAAAATGCTATTCCTCCCCTATCAGTTCCTAGGGAAAAACAGATTTCCAGGAACTTGTCACATCCAGGTTAAGATGGAGCTCCTGCAGCCTTGTTTGTATGGTTGCATTCACCTCCTGGCTAATTATAGCTGGCATAGACTGAAGCCTGTCCTGGTGTTTCCCTATCTGGCACAGCAAGTTTTTGTGAGCAGGTAAGGCCCTGGCGATGTATCCTGCTTCCCACTCACCTCCCTGTCCCCATGGGTCTGCACAGCCCTAATTCTTCTGTGCTGCCACAATACAGCAGGGGCTGTGCTGAACTTCACCTGCAGCTGCAGCGCTTCCCCTGGATTTCCCCAGTGCTCTGCGTGGGGGTTTCTGTACATGCTTTCTGTAGGTGCTTTGCTGTGCTCCAGAGGTGCCTGTAGGAGTGAATCCCATTTAACCCACATGCTTCTGCTATCAGCTCTAGCACCTCGGGTCCCTCCACCTGCCCGTGCTGGTACTCCTGTGGCATCCAAGTGCCTGAATTTTGGAGCAATTCATGCCAGCTGGATATCATTGCTATGTCAAAATGAAACAGCAAAGCTCTCACATATGCAAAGATTTGCATGCAAGGCCTGCAGCCCCTGCTTTCCATTGCCCCAATTAACACTCTGATGTATCCTACAGCACAGCTTCCTCAGCCTTTTAGTTTTGTCTCAGTTCCTCCCCTAGCCAGGAATTTTTCCCTGGGAGGGACCTGAAGAGCAGGCCATGGCAGAGAAAGACCATGTGGTTTCCTGGAGTGCAACATAGGTGACTCTTTGCCCTGAACTGGTTTTTGAGACCTGCCTCCACGGGTGGCTGGTGCAGATCTGGGTGAACCTCTCCCTGCTGGGGACAGCGGTGATGCCCAGCTGGCCCTTGGCTCAGTGCGTGTCCCTGGCACATGCCAATGGGGAGGGCTACAGCTTCCTTCCCTGCAGGGATCTCTGAAACTCTCTGGGCATTAAAGACAGGGGGGCCTTGTGAGGAGCTCTATGCAATCTGCTCTTATTTGCTTGCACCAGTAGGATGGAAGGGATGGGAAAGTAGCTTGCCCCAGTTGCTGCCAAGGCCAGAGCTCAGCATCTCCCACCTGCCTCCACAGTTTCTACTGTGTCTCCAGCCTGGTGAAGGAAAACACAGCCTGGCAGCACACCCATCTAGCACTCTGCAGGGTGGAGCAGGAGGAGGGTCAGAGTCAGACCTATTGGGTCAGGTAAGGTGAGGATGGGAGTCTCCCCCTCTGGGCCAGCCCCAAACAGGACACCATTCCCATGGACAGCTGCTCTTCTCATTACAAAAGCCACCCTGAGGAATGATACCATGTCCCTGCAAAGGTCCGATTCCCTGAAAAACCACTCCACACTGGCCCTTTCCACCCTAAAGTCCCCATTTTCCTCTGCTTTAAGGGACAAGGGAAAAGAGGGAAGCAAGCAATATCTGATGTCCTTCTGTAGCAGTAAATCTCACCTCAGTTAGCGGGGAGAGGCAGGAAAACTGTGACCAGACCACTCAAAGATGTAGCGAGCACCTGGTGAAGCAAAGCCTCTCCCCAGTTATTTGGTAGATATGTATCACATAACACCTGCACCAGCACTGCCTTTGAAGCTGATTTGTTTAGGAAACAAAAATGAGAGAAAATAACCAAATCACCTGAGGTGTCTGAGCACAAATAGGAAGATCAAGTCAATTAGCTTCCCTCTGATGCCTGAAGTGGATGGGGATTTGGGGGTGGAGGAACAGTGATAAAACAGATTAGCTGACTTTCATGCATTTGCCAGTCCAGCCGGTTCTGCAGGATTTCTGGCTGCTGACATCAGAGTGCTCCTCCAGGGATGGCAAGGCAAAGGCAGTGTACTGTAGTTTTCAGGACATGCCAAAGAGATGGCCATTAGTGGCTTACCAGTAGAATGTTGCTCTTCCCAATCATCTCAGGCTTTCAAACAGGGCCTGAGCACTCGCTCTGCCCTCTGCCCTGAGGGACTCCCCAAGTACTTTACTACTTCAGGCTGACCTGGCAGAGCAGCCACGAGTCCTTTCCTATTTATTTGTCCCTCTTGGTCTAGCAGGACCATAAAGCATGCTTGTATCGTGTTGACAAATGTTCCTCCAGGCACCAGCACTGGATGTCCACAATCCCATGGGAAGTCACTGCTGCAGAGTAACCTGCCGACAGTGGAGACATGCATAGCAGCAGAGGTGCTACACAGCCACAGCACCCATCTTCTGCTGCTGGGAGCCCTAATGCAGGCTGCAGCACGTTGTCAAACATCCAAGAGTGGCTGGTCACAGGCCACAGGCTGCTCAGTCCTGCTTGTTAGAAAACACAGAGTCAGTTAAAGCTAAGAAATCAGATTTTGCTGGAGTATCAGAGACTGGCTGTTCCCAGGCAGTAGTGGTCAAAGGTGACTGCAGAGCCCTCAGTAGGGGTCAAAAGTGACTGTGAGAGCCCTCTTTGTAAAAGGGAACGTGAGACTTGCTACTGACACGGGGTAACTATTGGGCAATGCAGCCATGGGTGGCTTTTTCCCACTGCACTTGCTTTAAGAAAAAATTGAATTTCAGGATATGGACGTGTAGGCGGCTTCTGGCAGGTTCATACAACGAGGGCCCCAGCTGCTCCCTTCTCACCCTTGGACTGCATTTTATTCCTCAACCAAAGCCCCTTCAGGTCTCTCTGGGTGTTGCTTAGTTCCTGGGTCAAGGGCTGTGGGTGAATGAAGAAGAAGGAAGAGCAGGAGGACTCACACAAGAGCAGGAGGTTGGTGGGAGGCTGTAGTTCAGGGACATTCCCAGATGGAAGGTTCCTGTGCTCTGAGAAGTTCTTGGAGCTGTTAATCCCTCACAGTCAGGCATCCCCCAGTTTATTCAAACAGTGGGAGGGATGAGTTCCCTCTGCTCACCCGCCAAGTCAGACACTGGCATTGGTCCCCGTGACCCTGGAATATGCATGTACGCTCCTGAGCACACCTCCATCCCCTCGGACAGTCCTGCACGCCCCGGAGCACACCTGCACACCCGGCCCCGGGAATGCGGCTGGCGGGGAGGCTGCCGGGTGTCTGGGCATGCATGGGGAGGGGAGCTAGGTGAGCACAAGGGGGGCCAGAGGGGCACGAGGGGGTCCTGGGCAGGCCCGGGGGCACAGCGCAGCCTGTGCCGGAGGTGAGGGGCTGGGAAGGGACGGGGTACCCGAGGAGCCGTTTGCGGGAGCCTCCTGCCACCCAGTGTCGGCTCCAGACAGCGCCGCGCTCCGGGGCTCCCCCACGCCCGGGGCTGGCGGGGCTGGGCAGCCAAAATGCTTTCAGAACAGCACTTTAATAAAAGAAAAAACCAAACCCAATACTTCCACCCCATCAAACGAGATCCCAAGACAACCCCTCCTTCCGAAAACTCCCGTATAACCAAACAAACCCCCAGCCATGGAAGCATCCCGAAGGAGTGCAGGACAGGACCAAGGTCCCCGTGGATAACACCGGCTCTGTCCCCACGTGCTGCCCGTGCCATCGGGTCTCAGGGCTGATGCCAGTGGCACCCCCAGGCCTGTCCGGTGGCACTCAGGTCTTTAGTCACCTTTGTACTCAAATGTGACATTTCCCCTTGTGGAAACTTGGTTTGATGGCGGTGCAGAGGAGGGGCTGAGCGCTTCCCCTCCACTCCAGAGAAACCTCTGGATCTTCTGTCCACTTTCGGCTGACTTTGTTACAAAGTCCCCAGCAGCGGCCCCATCCGGGTACCGCTGCTCCAGGGTCTCCTTCGCCTTCTCGGGGCCCGAGCCGGCCCCCAACGACCCCGGCCGGGCTTCCCCATCCGGACGGCGCTGGGACCGGGGAACCCGCAGCGAAGGCGGCGGGAGCGGCCGGGTCCGGAGCAGGAGGAGCCGTAGCAGCCGGCCCAGCGCTGCCACAGCCCGTACGGGCAGAGCCGGGCGGGGGCGAGACCGCCCAGGGGCGGGGAGGGGGCGGCTCCTCCGGGAAAGGGGCCGGGCGGCGGCACGGCCCGGGCCGGCAGGTGGCGAGAGAGACCGGGAACGGGAGAGGGACACTGGAGAGGGACACTGCGAGAGGGAGACCGGGGGAGAGAGACCGGGGGAGGGAGTGGAGGAGGACGAGCAAGAGCGGGTCGGTAGAGTCGCTGCTGTCGGAGCGCCCGTTTGTCCGTCTGTCCATTCTCCCCCGCTGATGCCGCTCTCCCGGCCTCCCTGCAGCATCCCACCGGCTACTGCAGCTGAATCGGGCCCGGCCGGAGTCATCCTCCCGTACCCACGCAAAACCTACCGTCTTTTTTTATTTTCTTCTTCACTTTATTATAACTTTTCCCCTTCAATATTGCAGCTTCCCGCTGGTGCTCGGCATCCCCCGGACTCCACCTTGCCCACTCACCCCACACTGCCGTGGCTTCCTCACAGATGAGCTGGAGTTTCACACATTTTAAGAGTACCTAGCTGACATTTTTGAAGTTTCCACACAGACATTTTCTGTGAAGGAAGGAAACCAGGGAGGCTAAGAGCTACTGTACCTCCTGCCCCACATCATACACACTTGGCCCGACATCAGTCTGAATTTATTCAACCCTCTCTGGAACCTCAGCTGAGGGCAGCAGTCATCAGTGTTTATGCAGATTTGTCTGATTTTCCTGCTGTGAATTCAGGGAAGATTAGGTTTCTTTCAGGACAAGAGCAGAAGGTCTGGCCCAGGCAGACCAATTGGTATATTTTAGTCTGTAAGCTTTAATCCCACAGCCCACACAAGTATCCACAGCTAAGGTTTGAGGAAGCAAACAGCTACAATATTTACAGGTGACAATGGGACCCTCTCCCCCACCACACATACATTTTGAACACAGGCCTCTTTGCTGGGAGAGGCAATGACAGTGAGCCCAAAGTCCATAAAATACTGCACCAAAGGATTAAATGTTTCACTTTTCAGTTCCTTCTTCCTGATTCTGGCCAATAAGATTCCACTGAATTTCAGCCAGAGATCACCTACATAATATTACAGGGCTGTTCCTCTTTTGACAAATAATGGTTCAGATATCTCTCACTGACATGTTGCTGACTGAAGGCCAGTCTCTTCCATATCACTAATATAAGGAAATTCCCTTAGATCCCCAAATTGGTCATGATGAATGCATGTGTGCATGCAAAAAAAAAAAAAAATCCATTTAAGTACCTTCAGGATGATCAGATTCTGCTTAACAAACCCACAACAGTTGCATTAAAATGCAGGTCTATGAGCCCTTCTTTAACATTTCTTAATTAAGGCTCCAGAGTAATTTTTAACAGATAAATCTGCAGTACTGAATGACTACAGATCACATGGTAACAGACACAATTATCCATTCATACAGTATCGCAGCAATTGTGTTGCATTTTATTCAGTAACTGAGACCTGTCCGTTGCAACCAGCTTCTGATTTATGTTTCACCACTCCCCTTTCACGTTCTGAGCCAAGAGCACTAGTGTCCTTGAGTCTTTTGTGAGTGTTCCTCAATCCCACCTCACTCCTATTCCCTTTGTTCTGCCATGGAAGATTCCTCGCTGATTTTTTTTTCCCCCGCCACTAACGTGGATCAGCAGTCACTGACCGGGGCTCGGGATCTGCGGTCATTGACTGGAACTACTCGTTGCGAGTCTTCAAGACAGAGGTGCGTCCCAGCTCTGGCGGCCCCTGGGGAGAGTGGGGAGGGGAAACCCTGTGAGGATCCTGAGGGGCCCTGTTGCGGTGGACTTGTGGGGATGTAGTCAAGGGGTCCCTGTAGTGGCAGCCTGGGGGTGACACGGGAGCGGCTGCTCCTGTGGCATTGGGAAGGCTGGGAGCGCTCAGTGCGAAGAGTGGGGAGATCCCGCTGTGATGGCACTTGATGGGGAGCACTAGGGAGGCACATGGTGTGGTGGCAGTAGGGAAGGTGTAGTGGGAGGGCTGGTGCAGTGGCAGTGGGGAGAAACACTAAGGAGCCCCCGCCGTGGTGGCACTAGTGGTCTGGGAACTTGTGTGTGTCGCTGTGGTGGCCTTGGGGAGGAGCAGAGCCCCTCTGTGTGAGGGCAGTGGGGGATAGCGGAGAGGCTCCGCTTTTCGGAGCGGGGGGCACCCCCTGCACGCAGCGGGACGCGGGGTCTGGAGGATCTGGGGTGTGCAGCGGTGGGTGCTCAGTGCTGTGCTGTGTGAGAGTGTTTTCGGGTGTGTGTGTGTGGGGGTCGTCGCCCCCCGTGGGTGTATGTGTGCGGGGGGAGCGGCGCCGGCACTCCCCGTGTGCCCGAGCTGCCGGGGGAGCAGCGGGGACAGAGGTGAGGGGAAGGTGATGCCGTCTGTGAGCGCCTAAAGGAGAGGGGCGGTCATAGGGAATCGGGCGTTGAGTCCCGTTGTGTCTCTCCATATGTGTCGTAAGGATGGGGACTTGCAGTTCGTGTGCCTGGAGGAGGGCGTGCAGGGTGAGAGGAGCTGAGGAGTTCGCGCTCTGGGGAAAAAGAGCTCCTTACTGTGGTTGGTTTGTACCTTCGAGGGTTTCGGATGCCTTGCAGTGAAGCTGTATTGACTGGGCTGTTCTGGTCGGTCCTTCCCCACAGGGCAGCAGGAAGATGGTTCCAAGCGCGGGTGCGAGGGATGTGCGCGCATCCAGCAGTGAGCGTGTCGGGGCTGGATCCATTCACCGTGTTGGTAAATGCTTAGATATCACGAGTGTGAGCCTGGATTTACCCAGGCTTTGAAGTGAAATAAACTTAGAGATGTTTTTTCTTTACAGTTCCTAGAAAACAAAGCTACATTTTCCGTGGAGGTTCTGTTATACTGAACTTTTGAGTTTCTGTGACTAGTTCTGCAGCCCTGGTTGTTCATCCTTGTTGTAGGCGAGAGATTTCCTTTCACTACGTGTATTAAAGCTATGTAATAGCATTGCAGGGCTCTGGAAGTTGAGCTCAGCGTGCCATGAGCCTGTGGAGGGCATAATGTAGGTAAGATGTTGGACTGCTTTGGCAATCTGACCTTTTCTTAGCTTTGAGTTTATGCTTTTCTTTCTGTACTGTGCTGGAATCTCCATTCCTGGTAGAGAGTGGGCAACTCATGCTGAGGGTTTTCTTAATGCTTTTATTGTTCAATATAAACTTTAATCATCACAGGATTTAAATTATAAGGTGACTGAGCGTTTTGTGGACAAAGAAAACTTCTGCCTCCTGGAGTTACCCCATGCAGCTGTTTCTGCACTGTTTGAGACTACTTGTTTTTCTTTTCCAGTATTACTTGCATCTGACAAGATGGTCTCTGTTCCAGAGGAAGATGGAAAGTCGAAAGATCTATTGGAGTTGGGAAGTACAATTGTGAACCACTGTACTAAGTAAACTTACAAGCAGATTATTTTCAGTATAATAAAAAAAATATTTTCCTTTAAAATATAGAACTACAAGATTTAAATTCAGTTGCTGAGTGTTTTTCTTGATGTTTGAGCTAAAATTACAAGTGTAATGTATTATGGAGTTTCAAAAATGGGGATAAACACAAATCAGTACGTTGGGTGAACTAGAGTTTAAGAGGTTTATAAATAAAATCACTTTTTAGATTATTTCATTTGAGTCCATCACTTGTAGGTTGTTTAAAATGGTGGGGGGTTTTCTGTTTACCTACTGTACAGTAATCATAATTCTATTTATTTTTCTTATATGTTATCAGGAATTTTCTTTCCAGTTGAAAAGTTCATCTTTCTTTATTCTGATGCAAGTTATGCTATTCAGTCATTGTTGTCTTGCTCTGTGGGTTGTTCTGTTTTGTTTTTTCCCCTCCCATTTCTGCTATGCCTTATTTTGATTGGAGTGTGTGAATATGATACACAATATTCACAGTTTAGGTGTCTGTGCAACATGATTTTATTCCATGGTATGCTAAAGTTTTATGTTTTGTCATCCATTACTTCCTCTATATTTCTCAGTATCCTGAGCTTTTCTGATCATTACTCCATGTTAAGATAATGTTTTTTGGGGAACTATGCTGAATTATTCACTGACCTGGCACTTGGACCAGGGATTCTTAATTTTTTTTACAGTATTCATGTTTTCTGTGGTCAGTGCAAGGCATCCCTATCCTGTTTCCACAGTAGCTGTGTATGCCCTGGAAATTCTTTCCTCATGACCTAATTTCTGAGCTATAAATCAACATTCTTTTTTAATTTGCAAATACTCCAAGATATTCTGAATGTTTGTGATGCTTTTCTAGTGTCCTTTACACATTGGTGAGAAAACCTCTATGCTCACTTCAGTGTCATAACATTTCAAGGTGGGATCACTGGTATTGTTTACAGGAAGTGAGTGCAGTTGAAGTAATTTTGGTTTATTTTCAAAGTGTCAAACCTAGAATGCTTGCTTGATGACACAGATTAAGGACATGCTAGAGAGTGTTTCATTCCAGTGCCTGTGATATACCTGTTTAAAACTTAAGTAATATATATGTTAAAAAAGGAAGTGGGCTGAAGCTCTGAAAGTGTGTAGTGGAGAAGGAGCCTGGATTCATCTGGTTAATGCCTGGCTTCTAGTTACTGACTCAGGTTGTCTTTAAAATCACCTTCCAGTTTTTAATCAGATAGACCAGATAACAATGATCTATCTATCTATCTATCTATCTAGGAAACTAGTCTCTGAATTCAATTTTATTGAATAAGAAATAAAAAGGGTTCAAAGCATTCTTAATCAATGTGGTTGCTGAATCAGTCTGGACTACATAAATGTACGTTAAATTAGTGGCAGAAATAGTTGTAGTCTGTCTTAGTTTGGTGCAGCTTTGTCACCCTCTAGTGCTCATGTCCAAAAAGTTGGTGAGCCTGCTATTACTCTCTGTATTTTTTTGGTTATATGGATTGGTTCAAAGTTTTCTAAGGAAGAAGAATTTTTAGAAAAGTTGTCATTTGCCAGCAGTAGCACAAGAAATTTTTAACTGATACGGGATCTACGCCAGGAACTCCTGATTCCTAAGCTGCAGTTTTAATCTCTAAACCAATTGATTTAACTTCTTGAATTGAATTTCTGAAACATGATACACTACATACTGAAGAAACAGCAAGATCTGTTGTGGTACATCTTCTCTTTGTGGAAAATCCAAGAAAGATGGGATTTCTTTTTTCTTTGATTGTATGCTTTATAGTAGTTTTGATAGTAGTTTTCCTTTGATTTCATTTAAGATATTCAGTTAATTTATTAGTTATGTCTTTATTAGGATATTAGCTGCAATGAGCTTCAGGTTCCTGCAGAGAGGAAAATTGCAGTCACTTAGAGAATTAATCATAAGAAGGAATATTGTCCATATGTTGCCAGATGGTAAGCTACTAGTCTTCATTTATTTGATGTAGGAAATTATGTAAACTGTTAAGAAAATAACTAATCCTTTTCTGTTGTTGTTTCCCCTCAGTCAGGACGGTGTTTCCCAGCTGTTGGTCAGTTAAACACTAGGACGCAGGTGCAGCAATGATTCTCTAAAGCCGACTGTCAGAGAGGGGTCAGTATTGAGACATTTTTATCCTGCAACCTGCCGGTGGTGACACGACTTCAGTTTTATCAGCCTTTGCCCGGTTGTATCTTTGCTTCCAAAAGTAACTGGGAGAGGTGGATGACTTGGACAGTGTATATATATTGCTAGAAAATTATTTGCAGGACAGCCAGTTTTAATGGCAAGTAAGTAAATTAAAACCTGGGCAGGTGATAAAAATAAGCCTTGCAACTTATACAGCAGCCCAAGCTGTAATGCCACCCCATCCAGGTCACTGTGCCAGCAAGAAACCCCAAATTAGTAAATTTCTTGACAACATGCAAGGAAGGAGCTTCACAGATACACCACATGAAATTTTGGAAAAGGAATTGTTTCAGAGAGCTTATTCTTAAAGTAATTTTTTTTAAAAATGTATTGCACAGCATGTGGACCCTCATGGAGAAAGGAAAACACCAAGGATGAGAAGGTAACTGTTGAATAAAGGCACACTGCAAACACAATGTGCTTTTTCACCCTTGAGTCGAAGCTGGACATACCTCCCTGGCTCAACAGGTGACAACTGACACCCAGCCCAGGAGCAATTCTGGAGATTTCAGTGATTAATCCCCAGCTGAGCCAGACCAGTGGAAGTAAATGCAGTGATTTGTTAGGATGAGAGCCCTACAAAACCATTGCAAATCCCTTGAGCATTATTGCAGCTTCACTTCTTCTATAGAGAGTGTGCAGTGAATGGTTCAGACCCAAAATGGTTACCAAAGGATATCTCCTTCCCTTCCCAACATATCTGAAGGAGACAGTAATTACCTTGCCGCTCATTTGTTACCCAGAGTGAGGAGAAATGTGAGTGCCATCACTCATGTTTCAGGCTGCTGCCTGAAAAGCCAGTGCATTTATTTGGCTCTGTCCAGGGGGAAAACCACCCTGCTCCAAAATGCAGGTGGTGATTGCTGACACTGCAGTGATTCACTTGCTGCTCTCAGAGTTGTTCAGTGCCATCTGCAATTGCTACAAAGGGGGTTCAAGCCCGTGCTGTGTGCTCTGCATTCCCCATACTCTCACTCCTAACTGGTTTGCCTTCGCAACTTCTGCAGTCTTGCAGCAGGAATGTTTCTACTGAGCAGTGTTGCTGCAGTCTCAACATTTGGCCTTAGTATATACTGCTGTCAGCAATCAGCACGTGTGTCTCGGTTCGTGAGCATGAAAGTACAAGCGCCAGGGAGAGTGTTTTATTCTAATGAGGCAGAAAAACAAACAAACAAACAAACAAACAAACAAAAGTTAGAGCTTTTCTCAGGTTTCTGTTTTGTTATTGACTCTTGCTTGGACAGGTATGTTGCCTGGTCCAAGTCCTGCAGCATGAAGCACATCAAAAGACCCCTAGGCAGTGTCTTTCTTCCTGCAGTTCCTCACACAAAGTGCCCCAGGCTCCAGCCTGTTTATGTCTGTGGGACAACCACCATTGCTGTTATTACCCACTAACTGAGGTTTGTCCCCGTGTTCTATCCCCTTGGTCTATTTCTGCAAAGTGGAAGGTACTGTAGAATTATGCCTCCTAGCAACTGGTTATTACTTTCTGTTAATACCCAGCCACATTCAATGTCTGAGTCATCCCAGTCTTTATTTTCAGGAATAACCACACTCCATGCACAGGCATGCTCAGTTTAGGGCTCTCTTATTTATATCCCCAGGACACAGCCACTAAATATGCCATCACATTCACCACTTTGGTGGGTTTTTTAAAGCTTACTGAACATACATGACCTCCTAATTGAGTGGATTTTCATCAGTGTGGAAAATAAAAACCGCCTCTCACAGAGGCCCATCTACCCACAGGATTTCCACCTTCTACACCAAGCCAGTTTAATATTAGCAACACTTGGAAGAAAGAAGTAAGAATTACTTTAATGGTGAACACATATCTCCCTTTCCATCTCTTGAGTCTTAAAAATTAACTCAAAAAGTTATTTTCAAAGGAAAATATTTCAAACTTTTTTTTTTTACATGTTATTGAGCAGAGACAAGACCTAAAGATTTGAACTTGTAAAAGGGAAAGCCATGAATGAAAAAAAACTCGAGACATTTTACATTGAAGAACATGGGCAATCTGCCCCATGGCCATCACGGTACTGGGTATCAGTGTCCTTGGCATGGGGTACCCACTTCCTAGTGAAAAGTGTGTCTCTGAACCACAGCCCCCTGACAAGTCACCAACAGTCTCTCCTTTGACTTCACTGGACCTTGGAAAATGCTTGGAGTGGAGGACAAATAATGGTGAATTTTAACGTGTCTGCTCTAAATGATAACAGTAACATGAGATGACATGAAATTTGCTTTGATGGAAATAGTTTAAAACTCTTTAAGAATGCATTTTGTAAAAACTTTTTTTTTTTGTGAAACCTATAGGAACTGATTCAGTAAAATTATGCCGAGTCAGAAGCTTACAAAACCAGCCAGAAAATCACTGTTCCATATGCATGTGTGTCTGTGCTCACCTGTGCATACAAATGCTGTGCACAGGCATATAAAAGACAGTGCCTGTAAAATTTTTATGTAGATTGTTCTTTGAGGTGATCAAGGATCATAAAATTCAGCAGATTTCTACATGACATTTGGGAATTGTCCTTATTCCCCCAACTCTTGAGTGGATGGCTGGTGATTTAAAGGACTCTCTCTATCAAATGTGGCAGCTGCTTTTCTCTTGCAGCCAGGCATAGTATTCCTGAATTGTCTGCAATTTTATTTTTGTTGTCCAAACCCTCATCTAAACCAGTTTGGTCCTACAAAATTAAACTCTTATTTTAGCATCCTTCAAAACTTGATTTATGATTTCAGTGTTGCAAATGGATTACAAGGTTAACTTAATATAATATGAGTATTTCTATAAAGATTGATGCAAGAATCACATTAATTTATTCCAGAAAAGTAAAATAATTTTTCATAATATTAAATAATTTATCTTTCCAATGTCTTGCTAATATTCTTATTCTGTGTAGGACTGACAAACACATTATTTGATTTGAAATAATATTGAAGAGAAAAGCCTTCCACAATTCTGATTTCTCATAAAGGCAGGAACACTCACATCAGGAAACCTGTCAGTCTGTTGTCACAGCTCACACTGTTGTGAATTAAGTGTGAAATAGAAAAAGCATTTTGATACAGGTACACAAGTGACTCAAGCACCTGGAAGCCAACCCCAGAGCAGACTGGAATAGCTTTGAGTGCCCACATTCTAGCACTTGACAAGTGAAGACCAGACCATAACTTGTGTGTGTGTGTGCATATATATATATGTGTGTGTATTTATATATTTATATTTTATTTATTTTTAGCTTGACAGTTCCTTACTTACTGCATATGTTGAAGAGGAGACCTGCTGTTGCTCTTTTACATAATGGCATGGTACACACATACCCACTGTCTGTCTTGCATTTAACATTTTCCCCTAAGCCTGTTGATGATTTTGATGTGTGCTGGTGTCGAGCGAGAGGCACAGTGCTTTAAAGCCTAATTACTCCACATGATAAACTTGTGCAGTCATAATGAAGTAAAGAGTTTCTGAGTGTCTATACTGATGAAATGTGCACATGTACTCAGAGGGGTGTACAGATTAGACATAAAGCCGTGTGTGGCAGAGGGCAGCAAGAGTGTCCTCAAACCCTGGGCCATATGGAGCCTCAGCGGTGCAAACCACAGAGCAGTCAGATGCATGTACTGATCTTACACCATCTATTCCTACATCACAGCAATTTATACTGACTTGGGGCCACTAGAAATGGAATGTTCTGAGGCAGTGGTGACAGCAGTGAATGAAGGCTCAGCCTCAGGGTGTAACACCTGCTGGTGCCAGCGTGAGCTGCTTGCACTGGAATACAAGTGAACATGATCTGAGCTGCTCTGGCTCTAAAATAATAGGGCACCAGGGCATGCCTGTGGGAAGCAGCTCCCAAGCAGCACTTTGGGGTGCTTTACTCCCTGTGGCTGAAGGTGCTGGTTGGGAAGATACACAAAAGTGCAATGAGGTTCACAGGCTCTGTGGGACCAGTAGTTATTTTCTTTGAAATGATGCCCTCTCACTGCAGAAGTGCAGGTGTGTAAATGTTCCTCTCTTGACAAACACTGAATAGTGGCAAACTGTTTCTTTTTGACCGTATGTGGTCTTGATGTGTTTAATGGCCCTTTGTTTTTTCCTCCTGCTTCTGTCCCTCCAGGTTGTTTTTTCTCTGTCTTGTTCCCTTCAACCACCATCTGCGCTTGCCCACCTCTCTTGCCTGTTTGCCACACCACTGTCCTGCAGGCCACCAAGTCTTGCAACACAGCTCTTCTGCACCCTGGAGAGGGCACCTCCTCTGCAGCAAGAGACTGAGCTCAGCTGCCTTTTCTGGGTGTTTCATCAGGGCAAGGGGAGGGACTGAATGGGCAGCCCTGACAAGAAAACTGTGCCCCTGTCAGTCTGGTCCTATTAGAGAGCCTTTGCTCAGCGGTGCACTCAGGCATCTCTCAGCCAAAGTAAATAACTGACAGAGCCATCAGCCTCCGAGGGGAACCCCTTGTACACCAGCTGGGGACCAAGGCTTGCTTTCTGACTATTTGTCTGTGCCTCCAAAGTGCAGTTGTATGAATGATATTATTTCCTTTACGCCCTTGGCAATTTACAGACCTGTGCTATGTTCTCCCTTGCTCACCTCTGGACTAGAAGAGCCTTGGTGTATCTCCTTGTCCACTGCCTGGAAGCTGATCCAGCCCCCCCATTACCTTTGTATTTTCTGTGGCTCTGCTACATCTTCCTGAGACAGCAGGGCTGAAGCAGACATGATATTTGAGATGGGTTTATAGGGAGGCTCTGCTTTGTTTTCTGTTCCTCTCCTAACAATTCCTAACATTCCAGTTGCTTTTTAACCGAGAATAGACACTCAGAGTAGTAAATGGAAAGGCACATTTCTATTGGTTTCATGCAACAAGCTGGTCTCACAAGCCCACATTTTAGTGGGAGAGAGAGCTCCTAGGAAGGGTGGCTGCGAGAGGATGTACCCAAG